TAAATAAGATATTTTCGGTGAAATATAATCATAGTGTACATTATAAACATTAATAATAGACGTTTGGCTAACTTTTGGTTGAAAATCGTTTTTTTTTAAATCTGTAAATCAGTTTATATATGCGATATATATATATACTTGACTTTTACAGGATATATATATTCTGTGTAATCCTGACGAGTGAAACAAGCTTGTAGATTAAAAAATTAWTATGGAACATGTTCTAGTGCACCTTTATAGTCCATCTAATGTAATATATATACATAATAATATATATAACATATATATTCTCATTATAAAATCCTTTCCTTTAAAGGACTCCTTGTTTAAAAAAGAATATAGCACTGAAAAATATGTTTAACCTACGTTCCATCAAATGTCGCGTAACGTGGATCGCTTACGCTATGACATTCCTTCGTTGCAGTGTTTCTAACTGATACCTGAGAAATCGAAAATTTTTTGGAAATATAAATTAGAGATTATTGAAAGTTATTGTCCTTCCATATCATAATTTTCCTTAATTACAGCATTTTTTTTTTTTACAATTGTCAAAATAACTTTTCGTGATCATACCCTTAGAGATGGTAATCTGTATAGGCCCCAAAATGGATGTGTGCTCAAAATACCAAAATGGTACTCCAGTACGGAATTAGCTGGATCGTCTTGGTTGTCACAGATTCCTTTGATCTTAAGTTCTTTTATCTCTGTGCCTTTCATTTTTATTTGACAACTGTCCACTGCACTTTGCCGATCCTGGTTTGAAAATTTGGATGGTATATATATGAGAACAGGAACATGATCGATGACTGAATGCCGTTCGGGCAAAACGGGTATAGTTGGTCGAAAGAAGACGGTTTTTGTYGTATCCTTGTCACACTCCTTGACATCTATTTGAATATGAGATGGAGTAACCTTTGTTTGAAGAAAAGAAATAAATAAAAAACGTTAAATAAGTATAACTACTACATTAAAACATAACAAACAAACAATAGAAAGAGAACTGAAGAGAAACGAACAAATTTATAGTTTATGAATGTCATTCAGCTTGACTACAAAAGGAGTAATGCTTTTAACACTAAACGTTTACCTCGATGCCAACATAGAAATAATCGCTGTCTCTCCAAAGTGTTGTCCATTTGTTTTGTGTACTTGTTGAGTATTTCATACGAAGTCTACAGCGAACCTAGAGTAATTGATATACAACAAATTGTTAAAGTACTAAAGTACTATAACTAGTACAATATAAAGGATAAATTCTAAAGCAAATTCTTTTTCGAGAAAATTTGGCTTGAAAAAACTAAACGTAAGTTTAATCATGTTTCATGTTAAAATAGCAAAATAATTTATCATAACCAACCCTGTGGCCAGCTCGAAAAGTTTGAGTACTAGTTCTTGTTCCGATTTCAGTATGTCTTTGGGTACATGGTGGAACATCACCGTCGGGAATTTGGTTTTCACAAATTGAGGTATCATTTGAAATCGAACGTCCATCAGCAAACCACTCGACGTAAAATGATACGTTCTTCCACAGAGGAAAAACGAAGTTGCATCGCAAACTAGCTTCAAGATTGTCATGAGCCAAAGCTGTGATGTTTGGTGTTGGAACAAGATGATATGGAAACGGCATAACAACTGAAACTACACAGCAAAGTAAATTAAATGACAATGAGATAAAGTCAAGCTATTTGACTGCATTTTCTATTTTTGGTGGTTATATAACTTTTGGTATTAAGTTCCGAACGATTGATGGATGCTTTAACTGAGACCAACTTGAGTTATTTCTACTGAGCAATGGTCCGTTCGTGACTTTTTTTATTACTCCCTATTCGATTACAATTTGGAGTCAAAGAGCAGGATAGGGCACTTCATGATTTGCATTAAATCTAATCATAGATTTAAGCTATCCATATTTTACACATTTTTYAGTTCATTTTGAATCTAGGTTAACTAGAATTCCTTGGTAAATTTCTTAACATACGTTTAGACAGCTAAAGACTGGCTAGAATATCTACAATGCAATACAAATGGTAATTAAAATAATAATAAAAGAACGAAGAAAAAGGTAACAAACAAAGAAAACGGTTAACGCAGTACTAAATTACCTGTGCAGTTTGGAACAATTCCCATCTGCCCCTTTGGACATGGCAACAAATTACCTTTAATAAAATGATACGTTAAAAATCAAAAATTGACGTTTAAAAGTAAGAAGCTTGGACTAACTGTTCCAAGATGTTAAGTAAACCTGCTGTTTGTGATTCTGTTTGTTGCAATGAGTCTTGCTGCGGCGAGGACACCGATATTAGTATAGGAAATCCGTACAGGGAGATTAGATCGAGTACTTCCAAAATGGATGCCAATGCCTATTATACGATGAATCCCTAGTAAGGAAATTCTGTCGGTTTTGTTGTTGTTGTTGTTGTTGTTGTTGTTGTTGCTGCTGTTGTTGTTACCCGGCAAGTTAATAACATTATCTCCTCTAAATATATTAATGCATATCAATGATATAACTAGTTACCTGCACAGTAAGCCATGGAACATCCTCTGCTCGGCTTTAGATAATATACGAAAAACGATCCACAATTTTTGACCGATATAAGCAGCCGAAATTTGCAGCCGTTACCTCTATTGTTAAAGTTAGTACATGCGGTGACATTCGAGACTTGTCCTTTGGTAACAGGATGTGTTCCTCTCATCCATATTGGTGCTACTGTACCACAGAAATGTGGTTCTGGTTTTGTGGTTGGTATTTGTCCTCCAACTATACTAGTGAACCTATACCAGCCTGGAGAAAGCATGTTGTCACATATGGCTACCTCATGATTTCCTCGTCGGTAGACAGCACTGCGGTAAGGATCGTTAATAGACTTATAATTAGAACAAGGATCTGGATACACGGGGTTAAGACTCGATAAAACGGTCGCCAAAAGAAGAACCCAAGATACTTGTGCCATGGCTACCTCAACTAAATGTTCCTTTTGGCCCCTGCACATATGATATATAATAACTAGGAATCTGATTTGATTAAAATGTCTGAACTATGACGCATGAACTATATTTAGATATCAACCAATCATATATATATTMTTTTTCAAAGACTTTACTGGTATTTTTCGTGCTCTATTCTTTCAAATGAAGCCGTAACTCACTACTGAACAAAATTACAATCCAGACTTATGGCTTGCTGTTTCCTGTAGATCTAGGTATCTGTTTTTGCTTTTTGACGCACATAAAATGTGTTCATCTTTCAACATTCGATTCCTTCAAAACAAAGACAATAGGGTAACCAGGAAATTAAGGCTCATTCTCAAACATGTCTTGACAGGTTTACATAATTGCTGGAAAGGCATTGAATAACTACAAAATTGTTCGAAAAAAGTAAAAACGATAAATATGTTATCTTTTCGTCAGGCTTTTTGCATTCAGTTCTTTGTATTCGGTAATTTTTTTTCATATTTTATATAATGATTACTCGGTTTGACATGGACATGTAAGATGAGAGGTTTGTAAACAGGAAGTTTATCTTCAAGTTATCAGAAACTTGAAGCACGCCATGCTCCGTCATATCACTGCCCTTTTTATTTACATTTATTGACGTTTTTTCTTGATGTTTTTTAGTTGAATAGTTGTGAGTTTGAAAGTATCTTTATCCGTTCTTAATTAAACTGTTTGTGTTTTTCTGATCCCGATTATTCATCCTAACTTTCTCCTCGGAACTTACATATTTGCGAATTTTGCAATTTTCTTTAACAGTACTAATAAAAAAAAGTTCGCAATTTTCTTGATGCCGTATTAAATTA